CCGAAATCACAAAAGAGTTCCCCTACCGGGTCTGTATACTTCGTGACTTTGTTCCCGGTTACCGGGTCTGTATACACTTCGAAAAGTATATCTCAGCCCCAGAGTCTTGTCAAGGCGAGACTCCGTTTCTAAAGACGCTAGGTTGGCGCTGGCTTTTCCCGACGAGTCAGGGTGGAGCGTGTAAGGGAATTCGCGGGCGAGCTAGGGTGTAGTGTGTTCAACAGTGTACTAACAACTTTCTCGCACCTGTTTGTCTGTGCGCCCATGGTCGCGCCCCGCTCCAAAAGTGATCGCGCTGACGGCATGCGGTCGCACCAAGGGCAGAACATTAGAATGTTAAAATGCGAAATCTGCGAATGACGTTTTGGAATGAGTGACGATATCACGGTATAAACTGAAGTTGACACAGTGAAGCGGCCCTGAACATGGATTGCCTGACCTATTTTTCCGACAGACCGCTGAGAAGCAAAATACGACAAGTGGTCGCGGGTTGGGCCACCTACTGTAGATCTATATCTAGGCTTAAATAAGGTGGGTGGGAACTACGGAAAAAGCACCGTCAAGTCTATTAGATCATGATTGTAATTGTAGGCTAGAAATCTAGTTGGGGCTCTTTGGAAATTGCCTTCCCGTTTGTTTACATAACCGAAGTGACTATTCGGACTCGAGTCCGGATATGAAAAAATGTTATTCGGACTCTGATTCTTGTCCAGCATGACATCACTTCCAACTTCCTGTGACTCGTGAATCCAGCTTCCTGTCCTGCCTCACCCGTGACTCGCCTCAGGCTGGGTAGAGACCGGGATCACTTCGGGCTAAAAGGCGTTTTGTGCAGGAGCTGAGTTTTAATCTTATGATGAATTTAAGGCCGGCCTGAAAAGTTATAGCGCTTCTAATAAATGTTTATTTGTCAAGAGGTCATCAGAAGTAATTAAAGATGGCTCGTTAGCGTGTGTCGGGGTCGGATGGGCAGCCTGCACACGTGTGGCTGTGTGCGTGTCGGGGACGGGGGTGGGGGGGCACTATCGGTCCGGGCGTTGAACGTCACATACGCGTCAGTCTTTTTGCCCCCGGCAACTGATCATTAAATACAATAATAAGCTAGTCTTGACGTAGATCTACGTAATGAATTGTGTGCTGGTCTATGGAATCAAAAGTTGCCGTATGCTCAGCTCTACACAGCAACACAACTTTTTCTTGGTAAACAATCGATATGACACAGGCTTGTGTATTTGAACGAATCTGTCTTTTTTTTTTTTTACCCAGCTCATAATATGCAGGTGCTAGGTGGTCTGCTAATCTTCAATTTTACCTTTTTCTACAACAAAGAAAGTGGGAAATATGTGGGGTGGGGGGGGGGGTATCAATGAGGCGGCGGGCATCGGATCGGCAGAAAAGGTGTGGGGGGAACTAAAAAATGGCGGAAAATTGGAAGCACTGAACGTTAGATCTATAGAACGAAGACACTTCCTTTTTTATTCGGACTCGAGTCCGAATATGAAAAAATGTTATTCGGACTCGAGTCCGAATAACGACGGCCTTACATAACAGAATTAACTGATTGCCAAGGACAATAGTGGCCATGTAGGCTGAGTGAACCCTACCACATTAGCCAGTACAGTAATATTTTTCTGCCTTTTTTGTATTAAAGATATTTTGGCCAGATTGAACTTTGGTGGAACCACCGTGTTTACATGTGTATTAACCCTGGTCCTGCGGGGGCCGGGTTTATGTCGCCCGATAAGCCTTGTACCGATAAGCCTTGTAGAGATTTCGGCACCTCGCCTTCGTTCTGGTCCAGCGTCTGTCTGGCACCTGGCTCAGCGCACGCGCGCCAAGCATCATCTCCCGTTCAATTTGGGTCCCGCGTCGGATCTGCATTCACGCTGCTCAAGTGTGTGTGCGTCAGTCTGCTTGAGTTTGTGTGCGTTTGTGGCCTTCTTCTAGAATCGCCTGCGTTGGTTCATAACCGAGGCATACGTCTCATTCAAAACACGCCAAGTTGGTAGCTCTAGATGTTTGTCCAATGAAATTACAGAACAAATTGACCCACTTAGACATATGAGCTCGAAAGGATCTAAGTCAGGAAACAAGACTTCCATTTTTCTATACCAAATTTTTCAAATGAGCTTGATTTTGTATGAAATGATAGTACTCGATAAAAAATAAGCTTGTTTGATACTTTTGAATACCATTGTGCAGGTACAAAGAACAATTTGAGGGCAAAACATTCGGAAATTGACCTATATTATCCCCTTTCGAACCCCGGGTCATTCATATTCATAGCAACGAGAGCCTCTAAAAAGGTTATAATAAATTCGAATGGGCATAACTACTCGTAATGCCTTATCAGCTTCTGGGTTATTCATGTGTTCATAACACTTTATAATAAGTAGAAGAAAGCTATAAGAAGAGTGTTAATTTCATCATCAATTAACACACTCCCAGGGTATTCCTGGCGAAAGCACACGTTTCCAGGCGTGCTTGCTGTACACCAACAGTACACACTGAGTGACCCTGGTGGCCTGCCCGGAATGTCCGACGTAATCGGTTGCTGATAAGATTTGCATCTCTGCACAGACGAAAGACAAGAGTTAATGCGCACTAGCCTTAATAGTGGGGGTTTGAGGGGGGCGTGCCCCCCTGGCAAAAATAATAAATTTTTTTAATACTTCACGTTTACATGGCAAATTATCAGTTCCAAAACGGCTGCCAATGGAACGGGAAGGCAATTTCCAAAGAGCTACGGCTAGTTGATGATCTAGATCTAGATCTATAGCCGAATGATTGTAATTTCTAGAATCTAGATTCTACTGAACTTTGAACTATGAATGAATATTAAATAGATTTAGATCTATTACTATGACTTTGAATTATGAATGATAGACCAGCCTCATGCTCAGATATAATTATTTTAGTCAGATTAAAGTCACGGCTTTTTGCAGTTTGGGCCCTAATTTAGGGCTCTAGGCCAAGAGTAGCCTACTGGATATTGATACTGAATTACTCGCAATGTTCTTTTCAATTCAAAAATGAGCAGAGTAATGTTTGACTTTTTTTTAATTAAGGGTGGGTTTCAGGGGGCATGCCCCTTTGAATTTAACCATAATTAATGATAATTTGATATTTCATAAAGTTACAGGTTTGTCTCTTGCTTGCTTAACGTCTAACATCATCATCACCACGCTCATCGAAAAGTAATCATTTAGAACCAGATGTAGGCTAATCGTTGGTGGGGCCAAAACCCACACTCTATAATTGTTGGGGCCAAAACTGGATGCCATTAGAAGTTTTTAAAAAGCAAAAGTGGCTATTCTCCGATGTCACAGCGGTCAATAGATCGAAGCTACTCTCTGGCGTCACGTATAGTTGCACATGTTGCTTCTCCACAGATTTCCATCTCCCCTGTCAGCACGGTTTCAAGAGAAGGGAAGATTGCTTGCCATATTATTGTGATTAGATTTGTTACAAACATTTATTAGGCATGCAATAAATAAAACTAAGCTTTGTTCTATTTCCTCAGAATGCATCAGAACTGCAGCAAGTGGGGGCAACCCTAACTTCAAATGCTGAGAATCTTGGAAATAGTGTAAGTTTTATTGATGATGTGTTTAATGCAATCTTGTAAAGTAAAAAATATACAGTGTCACAACGCGATGGAATCTGCACTTGTCAATTTTTGAGCATCTGAAGTTATTCATTCGCATTATCTTGTCATTTGGTGTGCTTTTTATGAAAAAAGTACCCTTCTATTTTGAATAGAGAAGTCTAGATGTTTGCAATTGTAGGAAGTTCTGGTTTCCGAGGTAAAATTATTGAGAAAATGGCCGCCAAAGTTAGGTGACTCCCTTGGCTAGAGCGTCCTTGGAAAATGGAAAGGAAGTGGCTATTCTCACCCTGGGTGAGACTTACCTGCGTTGGTTATTCTCACCCGGTGTGAAACAAGACCTTTTTTTTCTAATTTCTGAACACTGTCTATGGGTGTGGGTGATCAAATTGGCAAAAACAAAGGAAAAAGTGATGTTATAGCAAAGAAGTAAACTTATTTGGTCGTCTACAAAGATGCTATGGCTACTTCACTGTTCGGATCGAGCCGAACTACGCTGGTTGCCGTGCCGTTCTGTTTTGACCAGAAGTTCTTGCTGCTCCTTCTCTCCCTCTCTCCCCTATCTCTTTCTCCCCACTCCCCCCTCTCTCTTGCTCTCTCTCTCTCTCTCACTGCCCGCTGACTAAATTGCCCGCTTTCAACACAAGAGTGCTGGAACGTTTGTTTACACTGACAACTCACAAATATATACATGAATATTAGAAGATTTTTTTTTTGTAAAGGGGTTAATCAATATTGAATAGTATGGTATCATTATATTATAATTGTGCAGAAAGTTGGGTTGTTTGTTTTGGTTTTTTTAATGATCAGCATTTTGTTGATAATTAATTTAATTAAATGAACAATTTGTGTGCGAATCTGCTTTTACAACTATATAGCTTTGATGGGGGTTTAGAGCTAACGGTAAGCACATGCTATGCTTTTAAAAACGACTTTACCATTTTTACCCATAGAAGATCTCAGAAATTAGTGATTTTGGCTGCGTGGAGCAAGCAGGGAGTGCTGAGATTTTGATTGAAAGTTTTGCACTGAACCGTGAGTGCAATTTAAAATTTTGTTGCACTTGTTGAGCATTTGTGAGACATCATGGTAAAATCAGGCGCTTGTCAAAATTATGAAATTGAGGAAACAGACATTTTTCCTCCAGTTTAGCAATTTTTGTCGAATTTTTGTTTTTTGACTCAATATCTTTTATGTCCATATAAAAATACATTTCCATGTGAATTTTACTGAAAAAAACGTTGATTAATGGCACAAATAATGTATGTTTTCAGTTTTCAAGGACTCTCAAGCTATATATAACGTACAACTATCGTCCTTATCTCTCTTCCTTCTTTTTTATGTTTGTTACTCTCTTGTAACATCTCTAATCTTCTCCACTTATATATGACCTATTTGTGTTGCATGTACCGTAAAAGCTCACTAAAACAAACACGGAAATAAGGGCTATGTATAGAAAATGCTGTGAACAGGGTTGGTGATTTTTTTGATTTTTTAAATAAAAATATAAAAAATCGATTTTTTAAATTTAAATCGGATTTTTTAAATTTAAATCGGATTTTTTTGATTTTTTTGATTTTAAAAAAAAATGTCGACACAGTTTGGGATTTTTGGTGGCTAAAAGTATGTTCTTTTAGTGCAGAATGCATTGTCTTTATTTTAACTAATGATCAATATAAGCAACTGCGAAAGAAAGCCTTAATCTGCTATTATCAGTGAATTATGGCTACAGACAAAAAATGAAGAAAATGTCAGTCTAAAAGGAAAGGGGGGGAGGGGGTAATTATGGATAGATAAACTTGTATTTTATTACAGTGTGTGTGTGTGTGTGCGCGCGCTTGTGTTTGTCTAAAAAGAAAAAGAAAATGCTAATTTCAATCATGAAAAAAAA